GATATTTTTTCTCGAAGGAAGTAAGCAGCAACACGGGCTGTGCATATTATATTTTTCTAAGACAATAATTCGTTCGCATATCATACTTCCGAAACTGGGAGTTCTAAGCCTTGACACTTAGAGACGTATTCTTTTACAGATCTTCTGCTATTATTGGTAATTAAAAACACGTTCTTTTTACAGTCGAGCAAGTACTGCAAAAGCTCTCGAGACGATGGGATAAGGACGTTAGAATTCCAGAGAACACCTTAAGGGTTAAGAAACTTCCATCCTCACCATCACAGTCAAAAAGGAAAGTATCACAAGCACGCAAAACTGAAGACTCAGACATCATTCATTCGCTGAGGTAGCTGAGACGTGAAGGTCAAACTGTGATGTGACGATTGGTGCGTCAACTCGATAATTTATAAGCCTTTCCAGAAGCGGTTAAATCAAGGCCTTTCAAATTTGATTTGAGTTCAGTCGCGCTGCACTATAGTCTCCACCTACAGTGTAACAATGTCCAATATCCAATATCTTTTTCACGAGCTAGTATAAACCAATTGATCCCTTTGGGCTCGATTCTTGTTCTTTCGACACGGACTGAAGTATAAGCAAGGGGGAAGAAACAGAGATATATATCGAGTTAGTGATCTAAGGAAATAGTAATAAAAACAACTATCAAGTTTCGAGACATGTATCAAGCATAGCTAGTCCACGAGGGAGATGATAATCCATATGTGAGTACGTGTTTGTTAAGTCTCTTCTTGAAGCTATCCATTGAGGGGGTGGTGGTCACTTCTGCTGGGATAGCATTCCAAGTTTCAATAACTCTTAATGAGAAAAGGTGTGCGCGAACCTGGGTGTTAGCTCCTTGAAGCGCACTTTTTTGAGGATTATCCGGAGGGCGTGGCCGTGGTGTTTCGGTAAGATGCTCATGTTGGGATGATTTGACGTACTTAATATGTTGTACACCATAATCGTATCACCTCTGATTCTCCTGTAACTTAGGGGAAATAATTCCTAGGGCTGAAGTCTATCTTCGTAAGTTATATTCTTCAGCCTATCACCCATTCTGTTTCTCGACCCTGCACTCGGTCCACGAGATTTATGTCTTTTTGAAGAAGAGGCAATGCGACGGCATTGTGAACCTGCAGGTGTAGGTGCGCATACGTCTTATAAACAACGTTAGGAATAATTCTGGGGTTTGATTTCTAGATTATCGGGATTTACATTAGTAATCCCGCGAACGAATATATTTATTTCGATTTACTATAATTGGTGAGGCACAACTACGAATACGCATTAAATCCGGTCAGTCTGCAATTTTTCTATCCGATTTTCTTACTATTTTATCTGTTGTGTGATATAGATCGATACATATATATATGTATATATTACATAAAAATGACGATTTTTTGGCCGACTCAATTTTCGACCTGTCGCGTTTATTCACCATGACCTAGAGGTCTGGTTTGCGGCACTGGAATCTCAGTATGGGATCCGCCGCATCACTAACCAACAGCATATGTTTGCCTACGCCGTGGAGTCCCTTCCTAGGGATCACAGCCGCCGTTCGTGAGGTCGTTCTCAACTCCATAGTTCATGATGTCTACGATAGTCTTAAACAGGCGATTCTTAGACATTTCCTCCCATCGAGGGAGGAACGGTTGAGGACACTGTTAGCACATCACCCCCTTGGTGATGCTAAGCCAAGCCACCACCTCACGCACCTGCAATCATTGGCAGGACTAAGGGCATCTGACTCTGACGTATTCAGAGGATTGTGGCTAGAAGCCTTACCAACCCACGTGCAGCCAACGATTA